TTATTGAAGTTTTCACTTATTTTGTTCTTGTTCTGGATGTTTTCAGTCTCAGATAATGAAATTAAACCTGGTGGGTTTTTCTTCTTCTTGTTTAATTTTTAACTCCATTTTAAATGAAAAGGCTTCACCTTTCATCTCCGGCTGATCTCCTCCCTGGGGGTCTGCGAGGAGAGGAATGTAGGTGGAGGGGAGGGGTGTGTGAATGTGTGTTGTAAGAGGTTTTTGGGGGTGTAGTGTGTATTTGTGTGTGTGTGTATGTGTGTGTTTGTGTGTGTAAAGGGGTCATTTGGTCAGTTTGCTCATCAGTACTCGAGCTGTCCGACTGAGCCTTCTCACCATCTGTGTGACCTCTCCTCATACCGACGGACTTTTGTTCCCGAGCTGGTTTCCCTCCCACCTTCATCCCTCGCTGTATTCCAGTCCATCCACGCTCCTCCACCTCTTCTTTTACTTTGTTAAAGATTCCTTTTTARTCTTTGTTGGAGTTTCCCACGTTGCAAAGCACTGATGCAGTTTCACATRAAACACGTTTGTGTTCAGTTTAATATTTCACAAGATTTATCAACTATAATAAATGGCACAAACACACAAAACTAAGAAGGTTTTGAGACAAGTTAGAGACACTAGAGACAAACTGAGAAGGTTTTGAGACAAGTTTGAGACAGTAGAGACAAACTGAGAAGGGTTTGAGACACTAGAGACAAACTGAGAAGGTTTTGAGGCAAGTTAAAGGCACTAGAGACAAAATGAGAAGGTTTTGAGACAAGTTTGAGACAGTAGAGACAAACTGAGAAGGGTTTGAGACACTAGAGACAAACTGAGAAGGGTTTGAGACAAGTGTGAGTCACTAGAGACCATCTGAGAAGGATTTGAGACAAGTTTGACACAAGGGACAAACTAAGAAGGTTTTGAGACAAGTTTGAGACACTAGGGACAAACTGAGAAGGTTTTGAGGCAAGTTTGAGACACTAGGGACAAACTAAGAAGGTTTTGAGACAAGTTTGAGACACTAGGGACAAACTGAGAAGGTTTTGAGGCAAGTTAAAGACACTAGAGACAAACTAAGAAGGTTTTGAGACAAGTTTGAGACACTAGAGACAAACTAAGAAGGTTTTGAGACAAGTTTGAGACACTAGGGACAAACTGAGAAGGTTTTGAGGCAAGTTAAAGACACTAGAGACAAACTGAGAAGGATTTGAGACAAGTTAAAGACACTAGAGACAAACTGAGAAGGGTTTGAGACAAGTTAGAGAGAGGCAAAATGAAAAAGGTTTGAGACAGGTTAGCCTGTTAACCTTCAGCGGAACGCCCGCGTGCCGTTTTCTATTTGTTTTATTTTGAAGTATAATATCTCTTTCCTGTTCCACCTATGTCCGTGTGCAATGCATCAAACTTGACGTCTAGRCCCTCCTTTTTCGATTGACACCTCATTTGACCAACTGGGTTCAGGTTTCACCTGCCTAGGGCCAATAAAATCTCAGAAGTGACCAACTTCCGGTTTCCGTCTTTCTGGCTTTGAATGACAATAAAATCGGCCAATCAGCTCCGAGCTTTGTTCTGACGCTAAAGATGTGTAGCCAATCACCGTACCTTTCATTTAATGTATAAATAGAGGGGGTGGGAACTTTGTTAGTGATGGAAGATGTAAACACAGTGGAGGCTGCCATGTTTGGGCTGTGTTACAATGTTAAGGAAGACAGCTAACGCTCACAGGAAAACRTTGTTTTCCACCGTTTTTTGGCCAGTTAGCTGACGAAACAGGCTGATAAGATGAAAATATRTTTGTTATTAAGTGTATGGAGTGCTTCAAGACATGGAAAGGGAATTTTTGTGGCCAGGAGAAGTAACTTTATTTGGATACAAAGACTTCCGGTCGCCATTTTGAATCGCTAATTTGGGCACATTTGAGGACATTTATTCATCAAATGTGAGTAAAAACAAATATTTTTTCGCTGCTGGTGGTTTTAAAAGCTGTGTGGAATGTTAATGCTYTGAAAGATTTAAGGGTATATTGTTTATTCTTGCAGTTTGGCTGGTTTTTGGTGGAATTTTGGCTGAAAGTGCAGTGTTTGTGTAAATATTTATGAATATTAATATGTTTTTTTTATTTACTCATGCTGTGAGTAAATATGGATGGTAGAATGTGTTTTGTGGGGGTTATATCTTTAATTTGAGCCCATTTGATGTCCATGAGTTGAAATTAGAGCGTTTTAGACAAGTGTACAGTTTGGACATATATGTGTAAATGAGTACAAATATGCAAATGAGCCACTTGGATTG